AAGAAGTTCCTCCTCATGTTAAGAGGGAATTTCTTACGTTTTAGTTTATGGCCGTTGCTCCTCGTCCTTTCACTGGGCACCACTGGAAAGAGTCTGGCACCAACCTCTTGACACCTGCCTTTGAGATATTTATATGTATTAATGAGATCACAGAGTGATAACTGTGCAAGGACCTGTATTGTAGCAATAGGAAGGACCTCTCCTTGTTTAGGGCAACTGAATAGTTCCTGCTAAACTTTTACCAGATAGATGGTAATTATTGAGTCCTCTTTCCAAGAGGTTTGACTTGAAAATCAGGTTCAAAGTGGGCAGCTCTCACAACTATGACAAAGTCAAAAGTAACCCTGCTCTGCGAAGAACTCTGATGATTTAGGTTGAATTTTGTATTTGAGGCGACTTGCTTAGAGAACAGCTTGTTTTGTCCCTGTGCGCAATGGTAAAGCTGGTTAATTGAGGTCCCTGACCTATCCTCTTTCTGAATGTTTGAAACCTCGCCCATAACATATTTTACTACCTACTCAGTAAGCTACATTTAAGCTGATTCAACTGTGCATGTGGATTCATGCTATGAGCCAGACTAATTAAATTATCAGTATTAAAAAATAACACCCTTTTCAGGATATTCAGCATTTGCTGTTTGTTTCTTTGTTTACCACCAGTGAGCTTACAGCACAGCCTTCACAAGCAGCTGAGGGTCTGGGGATAGGAATGACTGATTGCATCCTGAAGGGGGGAAAACTGGTGCAATAGTTTAGCCAATAGAGAAACCTGCACAGCATGGGGACACCTCATATCCTGGCTCTGGCAGGGCTGGTATTGACAATGAAGCCAATTAGTCCTGATAGGCTCCAAGCAGTCAGATGTGGAGCCGGGTCAGCTGTTGCTTCTCCATTACAGTCACCAGTGCTTCTGCTTCCAAAGACACAGTACAGAGGCATCTGCACTGACTGCCCACATTACTAGCATGCATACTATGAGGTTGGTTTTCATGGCTTTTATTGTTTGCAAGGACACGTGCTGCTGAGCCTGAGCTAGTCTTGGAGTCAGCACCCACAGCAGGGTGCTCTACCTGCCCTAATGTCCAGCTGGATCCATGTTGGCTCTGCACAGGGTCAACTTACATGTCTGTACTTCCATGCCATGCCTAATCTGCAATCCAGACAATCCATCTGTGGGGAACTGAGAGCTGGTGGGTACTCAGTTAGGTTTTTTGAAGCATTTAGTAAGATTGTACAGATGGATGCCATGAAAAACACAAGAAAAAAATTAATGGTTCCATCTTTAGGCCATAAAGATGTGTTTTACTGTAAATAAGATGTCCAAACTTGCCAGCAAAAACTTCTTAGATAGAAAAAACTTTTTAGTTAGTAGTCTATCCTGTCCCCTAAATAAGACAGGGGTCCTATTGGAAAAAAAAAGAACAAAAAACGAAAAAAAACCAAGAGAAACAAAATCATATTAATTAAGGTTATTAACTTTCCCATGGCATAAAACCAAAATAAGGCAAATGAGTACTTGCAAGCAGCCTTAATTGCAATGTCCTCTAACTTTTCAAGCATCACTTTGCTGACCATGATGAAGTTCTTTGTATATGCCACTTCCTAATTTTAATAAGTTTATATAGGCAGGCTCAGATTCTGTCATTTTCCTGTCATTGCGTGTGCAGCTACCTGTCTAAGAACACATTATCAGGAAGAATTTTAAAGCGTGGAAGATTGTGGTCTGCCACACTAGAAATAAATTAAAGTTAAGAAAGACTTAAAAAAAACATTATGGAAGAGAAAAAAGAAATATTTATACACAATATTCATGAAAAGCATGTGAAGGTAGGTTGTGTTGAACAGAGAATGAGAGAAGCATTTTTAAACAGTGTGTCTAAGCACATGAGGACAGAATTATATATGGCCTTGAATAAACTATACAATAGAGATGACATAAAATTGTAATAACAGATAAAAGATATTCACCCTGAAGGACCTGTCATCTACTAATAAGGAGAAAAAGCAGAATATGAAGACTTCTTTAAGCATTTAAGGTTATAGGGAAACCATGAGAGTGTTTGGAGGCAGATACAGCAGGATTTGGCAATGGAATACTTTTGAAGGAGACAAAGGCATACACACATGTGTAATACCAGCAACAGAGAACAGAACCATTCCTTTCTAAACCAGCTTACTCGAAGTTAGCAACTATGACTATTAAACCAGCCTGATACTGGAAGGTAGTGAGCATTTGGCATTCCTACTGATCTTGAATGATTTAAGGGGTATCTGCAATTTCTGAACCTCAGAGCTATGACAGGAACTCAGTAATGAGTATCAGTTGCTATAGTCTGAAAGTCATACAGTGGTATGACTATCTTTCCTAGATGGGGAAGCCAGAGTGTGGTTTGTAGACTTGAACTCAATATACAACAGAGGGAGAGGAATCAATCACCTGCATTGTAATTCCTCTGTTAGAATTACCATATTACCCAAACAATAAGGACTACAAAAAGAGGGGTATGAGATACAAAAAACATAAGAAAAGGAGGAAGAAGGGCTTCCCATATGACATAGGACAGAAAAGATCTATCAGAGGTACAGATAAACATTTTTATGAAACTGAAATTGGAAAATTTGTGCATTATTTGTATGAGGATAAAATAATTAAATCTTTCTTTCTTTCTTTCTTTCTTTCTCCATACCTTCAGTGAGTGTGCTAACCTCCAAAATAGTTTAAGTGTTACACTACCATTTCTTTCTATCAATGCTTAATGAGAGAAAAAAACCTTCTATGGTCCTCTAGTGGAAGGTTGTGCTGATGGTTGACTGCTGTGCTCCACCCTGAGCACAAGTTAATAATCAAATGATGATTAGCTCAGCATAAGAGGTCAAGAAAAAGGATGAGGCCAGTGAATTCTGATGAAAGTGATTTTTTTTTTCCCCAGTAGTTTGAAATAGGACCTGTATATCACCCCTAGCCTTCTCCTTTGCGGTTTTGGTAGTTCCTCATTTTGCCTACAGGCTTTTCACAGAACCATAGAATCATTAATGTTGGAACAGACCTCCATGATCATCAAGCCTATCCTTTGACCAATCATCACCTTGTCAACTAGATTACAGCACTAAGTGCCACATCCAGTCATTTCTTGAACATGTCCAGGGATGGTGACTCCACCACCTCCCTGAGCAGTCTATTCTGATGCTCAATAACCCTTTCCATGAAGAAATATTTCCTGATGTCCAAACTGAACCTCCCCTGGTGCAGCTTGAGGATATGTCCTCTCATCCCATCACTAGTTGCCTGGCAGAAGAGGCCAACCCCCACCTGTCTACAACTTCCTTTCAGGTAGTTGTAGAGAGCGATAAGGTCTCACCCAAGCCTCATTTCCTCCATACTAAATAATCTGAGCTCCCTCAGCTGCTCCTTCAATGACTTACTCTCTAGACCCTTCCCCAGCTTCATTACCCTTCTCTGGACATGTTCCAGCACCTCAATATCCTTTCTGAATTGAAGGGCCCAGAACTGCACACAGTACTTGAGGTGCCACCTCACCAGCACCAAGTACAGAGGAACAATCGCTTCGCTAGTCCTGCTGACCACAGTATTTCTGATATAAGCCAGGATGCCACTGGCCTTCTTGTCCACCTGGGCACACTGCTGGCTCATGTTCAGTGATTGTTGACCAGCATCCTCAGGTTCTTTTCCGCTGGGCAACTTTCCGGCCACTCTACCCCCAGCCTGTAGCGCTGCATGGGGTTGTTGTGACCCAAGGGCAGGACCCAACACTTGGCCTTGTTAAACCTCATACTGTTGGTCTCAGTCACGTTGGCTTAGAATTATTTGTTTTACAACAGATTCTGCTATTAAATAGGCAGTTATCACTTCTCTTTCCAGTAATTGTTTTCAGTACTGCACCTATACCTATGATTTTTATAGTCATAATTTAACCAGCTGTTGTGCCAGATTTAAAATTATGGGATAGCATTCCAGGAATTACATTATTCTTGCTTTTAAGTATCCCTTCAACCAACCAATGTAAAACACATAACCAATGGCACCAAGGAATATCTTACTAGATATCAATAGGATTTTTTCAACTAGATCATAGCAACATCATGTGTGTGCAACAATATCATGTGTGTTTATGGCCAACACCATATTATTCCAAAGTTCAACTATCTGGGGTATTTTTCTTTGGTATCTGTTTTACAACTGCTTGAAGCAAATTTAGCATTTTGCTAAATACAAGTTACTGAATGTGAAAATGGGATCAAATGGTACTGTTGCCTGAAATAATGAAATATTGTACTAAACACTTCAGAGAGGCCCCATGATTTATTCTGGTCCCATGTACCTTCACCCTACCACCATGGGCACAAAAAGTCATTGTATATGATGAGTCATTATAGCTCTATGATCACAGAGAACATTTTCTACAGATATTTAATAACCTTCCAAATTACATATTTCACAGAAGTAGGTCAAATTGAGCAGTGATTGAAAACTAACTTTTCTACAAGTACCCAACTCTCCAGATTTTATCAAGATAATACTGTTATTCCAGATTTTATCAAGATAATACTGTAAAGAAATGTTCTGCATGTTAAGAATGGCTTATCTTTTTGTAATAAAGATCTAAAACTGCTGTGGGTAGCAGTGACCTCTTTTTATATTCCTGCTCTTGCTCTATTCAGGTGTTATTAACTCATGTTGCACAAGATCAGGGTAAGATCTAAGTCACTGACGATGTTCATCAGTTCTGCATCAGAGTGAAAGGAAAACAGCAGGGGGACTGAACATGGACATTTCTGTTCTTGTGGAATCTTCTGAGCGTTGCAGAAACACATTGACACTATGGAGCTGGGGTGTATCAAAGTGTCTACTAGTACATGTCTTTGGATAGCAGATTGCCATCTATTCTTTATTTCTTAGTTCTCTTAAGGGACTTTTACTTTTCAAACTTTTGTTCCTGGTGAACAAGATCATAGGAACACATATTGTAGATTTGTGCCTACCTTTCATATTGCCCTTTGTTGGCCATTTCATTCACCATCTGCACTTCCTTCTAGAGATAAACCAGTCAATAGTTACCACCTGTACCACTTCTTATGCCATTAGAATCCTGTAGAGTAAATACAGTTAACAGTAGACTTTGACTGGATGCCCCTCTCTTGGGAAAATGACGTTCCTGACTTCAAACAGATGTCACTGACCAGCAGTGACATCTCATGTCAGAAAGAGAATATGGTGTCCCAAGAAGATACAGCTGTGGCCACCATCAATTGACTCAGAAAAGAGAATTACCGTACTGTAGGAAATTCTGACATTTTGGAATCTGTTCTTATTATGATTAAAATGAAAAATACAAATGTCAACATTTTCTAAAATAGATTTCCAAGGAAATATTTCTTTGAAAATGTCAGAATTTCAGCATGATTTTCTATTAACAATTTTGAATCATTAATCTACAAAAGATTATATTTATGTGGATATATCTGCTTTTATACATGAACAGTAAAACATTATTCAGAACAGTCACAGCCTAAATGAAAGCTGATGAAACCATAAAGAGATAGTCTTATCACTGTGAAGTGATAAGTCTTCCTGTGATAATACTTTTGTAGGTATAGTATTATGTTTAATTATATTGCCATATCAGTTTGATCATTAAAATTTATAAGTCTATTTCATACAATCAAGGCCACAAGCACAGTGATTGCTGGTGTTATTTACTTATTGTTAACTCTGATTCGGATAGTTTCATAGTCAGTGTTTCATAAGGCACTCAGATATTTTTTTGCATTAAAAAAAACCCAGCAATTTGTCTGTTAGCAGGTGACCTCTTAGGAAGGAAAATAAGTTCTAATTCCAGTACAATAAACCTAGAACTTGAATGGAATTACTGTTAAAATATTTACAATCTTACTTAAAAAGTGATTAAATTCTTGGTTTTATATGTTCTGGCATTTATATTTTCACAAAGGTGCTTATGAATATTTAGCTATACCACTCCAATAACTGCTGAAAATTTATTCTAAAGTGTGTTATTTTGTAGACTTCAGTAAATAACAACCTTGAGGTTTATGGCCTAAGTATGCTATGTTTTTCATCCACTATGTATCCAGCTTTCTTTGATTGCTGGGAATTAATTTGCAAAAGAAACACTTCATAGACGATACTTCTTATGCCCTGTAGCATTCTTAGATGTTGAAAGGGTCTTTAACTGTGGATTTAATTGCTTCAGTGGGTTTTAAAAAGCATTTATTAAATGTAGTGTTTTGTTGAAGGAAAATCACAAGATACAAGGGACAGAAATCTTGCTTTTCTGAAAGCTTAAGCAGTACCGGTGTATTAAGGTACTGCAGTGTCTTCACCAGGGCTTATCCCTGGCTTGATAAAGTGTTGAGGATCCACCAGATTCCTAGAGGAATTGGTTTAGAGCACTGTGTGTGCATGCATATGTGTGTGCACACAAGAGTGGGATATCATTTACTCTAATGCTGTGTACTGGGAAGTGCCCTTGCTGGCTCTGTGCATGGCCAGCATCCCACAAGCAGGTCTGTGAGACCTGGATATGAGGTCTCAGCAACAGTCATTGGATATTATGGCTTCACGTGGACAATTTGCATTTCGTTTCAACACAGAAATGAAATCATGCTCAAATTCTCAGTTAAATTATATATGGAAATTATTAGAATTGTAAACACGTCAACCTCCACAGTATTTGTTTTGTTAATGAGTTCCATTTATTTTATTCTATTCCTCTCATTTTAACTAGAGTATAGAACTGAATGCCATTTGTTAGGTGACACTTGTGAACTCACCAATTTATTTTCCTGAATAAGCCATGAAATGAGATGCTCACCCCCTCAGAGCCATTTTTACTAACCTGTCTTGAGGTGCACGTGCACGTGCATGTGCAAATACACACACACCCCCCATGTGAGCACTTCCCAAGTTATGTTCCAGTGGCAATTCCAGAATTTTTTTCTGAACCATAAAGGCCACGTGTAAATAAATTTTGAAGAGACTTCTGAACACTGATCTTGTTATGAGTATCCAAGATGCAAGTGTCTGTTGTACCAGCTCTGCTTCCTTTGTACCTGTCTCACCTGTTTTTGGCTAGCATTACCTCTAAGAATCTGCAAAGGGGTGCTGTTGTAAGTCTGTCAGAATCCCCCTCCACCTCTACATGCCAAATGATGGGGAGAAGCAGTCAGGCCATGCCTGCATCTTCTTGTAGCCTTTTCTCTCTCCCATCTCTGCTCTGACCTCTTGGTCACCTCCCTGCAGTTCATTGCTATCAGTCTCATCTATGAGCATATTTCACAGCAGCTTGGTACAACCCCTGTGTTTCCCCTGTTCTGGGGCTTTAACATGCACTTACTTCAATAGTACAGCACACACATTTACATCTAGGCTTCAGGTTCAGATACTCCTCGTTGGAGACAGGCAGATAAAACTGCTCCCTGTCCTTCGCTGTCTTGCACAAGTACATGCGTACCTTGATACAGTCATATGCCACTTGATGCAATAAATTTTCTGCACAGTTCTCTTGAAAACATATTTCCGTTGGCTGTTTTATGATAAATTAACTATATAGTGCCAAATTAATCTTTCAGGTCAGAGAATTTTCCTTAAGTCTCACTGCATGCAGTTGGATAATAAAATTAGTTTATGCTACTACACAATTTAGAACTGCAACATTTAATAAATCCAGATATTAATTTGACTATTATAATACCAGATATCAGCATCCTAAATAATTAACCTGAATTTTAAAAGTATTATTTTTTCTGACAACATACTTATTTGCAGGCTATTACATAGCACAGAGGACTTGTCTTTGCCAAATACATTTTTCATTCGTTAGTTTTAACCAGTCTCAATAGATCTGACTGCCACCATGCAGAGAAGCAGAACAAAGTAGATAAGTGAATGAATTTCCATTTTATCCCAAGCTCAAAAATTCTTCAGGCAAATCTATTCAAAGTACATATAAATTAAAATATAATTTGCTCTTTTTTTCCACTTCAGAAGTTAATGCCTGTGTTCTTTGTTTAGTCTCTATTATTCATATCACTTCAAGTTCTAGGTCACTGCATACAGGCAGCTGATGTTTAGAGACTGATCTTAGTGGGGCTTAATTGGCTGTCTTGTGAAAATTATGTTTCCTAAACAAAGATCAAAATGCATTCCTACTGGCAGACCTCTTTTTCCGCAGGAAAATATCTATGAGTGAGCACTTCAACAAAAAAATACAATGAGCACTGGTATTGTTTCTTAGTTTAATTTTTCTTCAGACATAGTTTGATTTTTATTATTATTTATGGAAATGGCTATTATGGACTTCAGGGATAAATGCATAAAATCTTGTTCCCTTTTTTGGATTTTATTTGTCAAGATTCTTTGTGCAGAGTTGAGGTCTTCTTTTGTAATGTGATCACTTGAAGATTCCAGTCTAAACATGATATGACAATACAAACCCCAAATATACCCAATATAGAAAACATAGACGTGGTTAAATTGCAAAAAGTCAGCATAAAAATCTTTAAACATTCATCTATCCTGACATCATCTCTCGGAATGTGTCTGGATAGTGGTTCCATAGGGTAGGCTTTTGGGGGGTGCAGAAGAGTATTATTAATTTCTCCAACATTGCTTTTTCATTCAATCCAAAATGTTAGTGATTTCTCCAACTTTATTTTAGAAATATCTAATCATTATAGCTAAATTGACTTATTTCTATCGAAAAACATTTCTTGCTAGCTCTTTTATTGAGAACTGCAGGTCAACATCCTCACCCTGTCTTTCATCTTTGGCTAAAAGCATTCTCTCATTCTTTATAAAGGATTTTCTTAAGACCTGGAGCCTGAGTGACAGATCTAAGAGACAGCCTGTCCTGTCCATTCACAAAGATAAAACTCTCACTACCTTGCATCCCAGCATCTGAGAGGATTTTTTTATTTCAGATTAGAAAAGACATTCTTCCTTATTAATAACCATAGAGATGCTGTTACAAATATTTTGTTTCTACTCCTGTTGAGAATATTTTAGACAATACAGGACATAACATGTTGCTTCAGGCCTGCCTGCACAATCCAGCCTACATGCAGAATGATGAGAACTGTGTGCCTTGAGCAGATGTGTGTCCTTGAGCAGCAGATGTGAGAAAGCTGCATGGAGGTAAACAAGAAGAAAGAATGTTATCCAGGGTGTTAGAAACCAGAGGATGGGAGGGCCTGAAAACGTCAGAGTGTGTGCCTTGTATAGGTGAGCCAATAAAGTTATAGCTATAGTGTGTGAAAACAGATGTAACCAATAGAGAGTTAGGATAGAGCGTGTGAACCCTGTAGGACCCTATATACCGTGTGTGATTTTTGCAATAAATGGAGCATTGACTATACATCCATGAGGAAGTGTCTTTGACTCTGGAGCTCCTTTTTTGCATCTTCTCGTTAAATACTCCTTTAAATTTTAACCATTATCCATCTCATTCTCTATTCTCCCTCTGCGTACCCATTCTGTACTGTGTTAAATATAGTACCCTTCTCTGTATCCCTCTTTTATCCAGTAATTTTTCCTTGACTAGAACACAATCATATTCTCTGCCATCCACCAGGAAAAATTTTCAACCAAATACCTTTGCTACTTGGAAAGAGCTACTTGTACGCAATTGTACTTGTCTTTATCTTCTTTAAGTAAACTCCTTTTTTATTAAAATCCCAAGGGGAAAAAATAATGGAAAAAATCAGGCAACAGATATGGTGGCAGGACTGCCTGTCATATTGATGTGCATTTTTTTTTTCCGGTGCTTGTACCTATCTGATGTTTCATCCCTTGTGTTTAGAATACTGATTCTCTGCAGAAGAGACCTTTTTATTATTGTTGTTGTTACTTTTTAATACAGTGGCATGCTAGCCCGTGAACGGGATTGATGCTAATATAGCTAATGACAATAACAACATTGGAAACTTACTATGGAAAATGATCATACACTGAATGCTCTTATGACCGGAGAACAGCAAAAAATGAACTTTTTACTCTCTTTTCCTTTACATTGAACT